TCCATGAGGGGCGGGCCCATCCAGCTCTCGGGCGCTCCGGCTCCCCTCCTTGACTCGGGCTCACTGTGCTGGAGGCCGTGGTGTGCTTCTTCTCCGTCTGGTCAATCGTGGGCCTCTCGGGTTTCCACACCTACCTGATCAGCTCCAACCAGACGACGAACGAGGATGTGAGTGTCCGGGCCTTGAGGTCTCTGTGTCCAGCTGTGGGGGCGGGGAGGGTCTCCAGGGCCCAGGGTCTCCACACCTTTCCAGGTGGGAGCGCAGGCACCGCTGGGAACAGGTGGGTTGCAGGTCGCACCTGGGACCCCTCAAGAGCCTGGTTTTCGGGCCACGTCACCAGCAACTTAGGTCAGCCCAGTGATCCCCTCCGAGCCCCGAGGGGCAGCCCTGTCTCCCCTGCGGCAGCCATTTCGTGAACTCATCACAGCTCCCCAGAGGAGGAGCCGCCGGCTGGCAGGCTCACCCAGAGGGTCTCTCTCGTTCCACAGCTCCTCTGGGGGGTTTGGGGGGCTGGTAATCATCCTGACTCAGCGTTCAGCCTTTTGTCCAGGATGCTGTCTACATGGATGCGGGAGGGAGGCGGTTTAAAGACAAGACCCTCCAGTGACCCGGCCCTCTGCTCTGAATAGATTCTGGCGGACAGTCTCCCGGTTCGTGATTGCTAGAACTGGCCAAAGCCTCGAGGATCAGCCTCACAGCCTTGGAGAATCGGTGCTGATGACATTCACGAGTCGAGAGGATATTAACGTGGTCTTTGTACTTGGGCTTGGCCCACAGGAGGCTGAATTCAGTCTATACTGGCAATCAGCTAGCTCTTGACTGTCCTTCACTTAACTGCTATTTAGCGCATTCACTGAGCGTGGGAGAAGTATCTCAGGGCGAGGGGAGCTGGCCCTCGGAACCAGGTAGTGACAGGAGAGCGAGCCCGGCCTTAACCCGCTGCTCATGCCTGTTTTCGTTGAGAAAAGTTGCTCAGTTTCTCCTGCTGAAGAACCCCGTAGAGATTCCGTGTAGTCATGGCGGGCCAATTGCCTCGAAGGACGCTGAGTCTTAATGACCCTCCTTTTCTTGCAGATTAAAGGATCTTGGTCGAACAAAAGAGGGAAAGAAAACTACAATCCCTACAGCTACGGAAACATCTTCACAAATTGCTGTGTTGCCCTGTGTGGGCCCATCTCTCCAAGGTGAGGGTCAGCAAGCGCCAGGCTTTGCAGCAGGTGGGCTCCCCTGGCGTGGGCTCACCAGGGCGGGCTCCCCGGGCATGGGCCCTGGCTTCCCATGGGAGAGTGCGGCCTGCACAGCTGGCCTCAGAGCTGCTCCGCTCTCTGCTTTATCCCCGGAGACACGGCCTTCAGGAGGTTCTTCAGCTGCAGTCATGTCGAGTTTGGGGGACATCACCTAGGGATCAAAATAGGGAAACTGAGGCACGTGACTCCCCATGATGACTGGTGCTGAGCGTCTGTGACAGGCAGAGAGCTGTGGTTAGCAGCAAGAGAGCTGGAACACGGCCTAGGAAGCCGTCAGACAATACATGCTAGGACCTGAGTTGTCCAGAATAAAATTGCTAAGGAGCTCAGAGGGAGAGCCGTGGGCTGAGGAGCGTGGGGATGATAAAGCAAAATTAATGCCACCAACAGCAGCCACTGGCACTCACTGAGCTGCTGCTGGGCTCCGCTCCAAGAGCTTGACGAGCATTAATGTCTACAAGCCCCACCCGGTCCCGCGAGGAGGGTGCCCGTGCTCCGTGCCAGGGAGGTGCAGGGAGGAGGAACTGCGTGCCCGAGGTCACACGGCCAGTCAGGACTCACGCCAGCCTCTGGGCCCAGAACCAGTGTGGCCCCCGGCCGGGCTGCCGTCCAGGCCAGGGCCCCGCACATCCAAAATGCAGGCGGCTTTCGATCGCGTGTGAGCTACGCCCACAGAGGCGTATTTCCAAGATTCCAGCCAGTCACTAAAGACACCTGAGCCAGCAGCCAGGCCCCCAAACAGCGCATTTCTGGAGCAAGCGCTGCCCCGAGTGGCCCCCGTGGCTCCGCGGGGTACAGTCAGCTGACCTGTGACTCTGCCAGGCGGAAAGGAGGGGTCGGCGTTTGCTCGTCCTCCTGCGGCGCCTTTGCTCTGCCCTGTCTCTGCCCAACCTCGCCCACCTGTGCCCGCCAGCGGGCCAGGCCTGCTAGGGGTGTCCCAGCGCCGCCCCCCACGAGCTGTGTCCTGCACCTCGGCCGGGGCATCAGAACCTGCCTGCCCGAGTCCTGTGCCTGCAGGGCCTTTAGTGCGTCTGCCCGTGACTGGGGTTGCGTCTCCCGGGGGGAGCACAGGTGTGGGCAGGTCCCTGCTTGGTGTCCCCGGGGTGAGGGGCAGCGAGGTGGGAAGGGTAGACCGTCCCAAATGTCACTGGGCGGTGTCATGGGTCCCGGGGCCTAAGAATTCACCTGGCCGCTGCTGCTGCCTGGCGCCGACCGCAGGCCCTGAGCTGGGGCTGTGAGGGAGCAGCAACCACGGCCAAGCAGGCGAGTCTGCGTGTGAAGCGCTGGGTGGGGGCAGGGCAGGCGCCATGGGACACCTGGGGGGCTCCTCAGAGGGGTCCAAGTTGTGAACGGTCTAGAGGATGAGTGGGAGCGGGAGAGAAGGAATTGCGGAAGGACAGAGTGAGGGGACAGCCAGCACA